CTCAATGTTAAGGTCTTCACAATTACTTGCTAATCAGAGTAGACAATGACTAAGGATGACAGAAGAAAACAAACAGGTCTCTCTTGGAGAGGGTGAAACCAAGTTTCTCCTTGGAGGCAAGAGTTTGAAGCTCCATCTCATATACTTGGCACATGGCCAGGAAGGACCAGACTTTGGAAAGGGATACCATATTCGGAAAGGTAGAGGGACTATGCAGGAGAGGAAGAGCTAAGATGAGATGGATTGGTACAGTAACTGGGGCAGTGGGGATAGGTGTGTCAATGAGACTGGCTCAGGACGGGGCAGGTTTCAGAGCTGTATATAGGGTCTCTGTGAATCACAAGCAACTCAACAGCACATAACAACTAAATATATAATGGATATAAATCTATAGAACAACTAAATACTCAACTAAAAAAATTATAGTGATTGCTTTGGCAGCACATATACTAAAATTGGAATGATACAGAGAAATTAGCATGACCCCTGCTCAATGATGACATGCAAATTCATGAGGCATTCCATGTTTTGCATGGTTTACGAAGGGAATATGTGATTTCCAACATTGAAACAATTCTCACAACAGAAATATTAACATCTGCAGTCTATAATGTTAAAAATAGCACACTATACTTGAATACTATTGTTGTTAATGTTGCTGTTGCTGTTAGGTGCCATCAAGTCAAGGACGACTCATAACGACCTTATGAACAAAAGATCTGAACCCAGTCCTGTCCTGTGCCGTCGTCACACTTCCTGAGACATGAAAGCCTATTGCAGCAGTCACCTTGTCAAACCACCTGATTGAGGGTCTCCTCTCCTTCGCTGACCCTCCAGCATTCCCAACATCATGTCCCTCTCCAAGGAATAGCACTTCCTAGCAATATGTCAGTATGTTAGGCAAAGCCTCATCATTCTTGCCTCCAAAGAGCACTCCAGCTGCACTCTTTCCAAGACATATCTATTCACTTTTTTGGCCATCCATGGAATGTTCATTGCTGTTCCCCAACACCGCAGTTCAGAGGCATCAATTCTTTTTCTGTTGTCCTTATTCATTGTCCAGGTCTCAGATGCATAGCTAGTAACCGGAAAGACCATAGCCTAAATCAGACACACTTTAGTCCACAATCTGACATCACTACTCCTCAATAATTTGGAAAAGTCTCTAACTGCAGATTTTCCCATTGCAGTGCATCTCCTTATTTCTTGACTGCACGTACCAAAGGTGTTAATTGTAGATCCCATCAAGATGAAACTGTTGACATTTTCATTCTCCTGTCCATCCATCATGACACTACCTATTGAACCAGTGGTAAGAATCTTTGTTTTCTTGATATTGAGACACAATCCTTACTGAAGGCTGCATTCCTTGATCTTCTGCAACAAGTGCTTCAAATCCTCCTCATTTTCAGCAAGCAAGATTGTGTTATCTGCATAATGCAGGTTATTGATGACTCTCCCTCCAATCCTGCTGCCACACTTCTCTTCATAAAGTCCAGCATCTCGGATCATTTGCTCAGCATATAGACTGAACAGGTATGGAGACAGAATAAATTCCTGATTCACTCTCTTCACAGTTCCAAACCATACAGTGCTCCCCTGCTCCGTTTGCACAACAGCCACCTGTTCCAGGTATAGGTTCTTCATGAGCATGATCAAGTGCTCTAGGATTCCCATTCTTCTCAATGTCAGCCACGACTTGTCATGATCCACACAGTCAAATGTCTTTGCATAGTCAATAAAGCACCAATAGACATTCTTCTGGTATTCCTTACTTTCAGCCAGGATCCATCTGACATCAGCAGTGATGTCCCTGGTGCCACAACCTCTTCTAAATCCCACTTGAACTTTGGGCATTTCCCTGTCTGTATACTGCTCCAGCCATTTTTTAATGATCTTTGGTATTTTGCTAGCATGTGATATCATTGATATTGTTTGATAATTTCCACACTCAGATGGATCACCTCTTCCAAACCGTTGGCCAGACAGCTGTCCTCCAAATTTTCTGGCATAGACTGGTGAGTGCATCTAAGGCTGCATCTGTTAATTGAAACAAGTCAATTGGTATCCCATCAATTTCTTGGGGCCTTATTTTTTGCCAGTGCCTTCAAGGCAGCTTCCAATTCCTCCTTCATTGCCATTGGCTCCTACTCATATGGTACTTCCTGAAATTTTTTTTAGTGTCAATCACTTCTTTCGGGTACAGTGATTCTGTGCATTCCCTCTTTCTTCTTTTGAGGCTTTCTGGCTCATTCAATACATTGTCCATAGCATCTTTCAGCATTGTGATACGAGGCCTAAATTTCTTTTTCAGTTCCTTCTGCTTGAGAAATGCAGAGTGAGTTCTTCCCTTTTTAGTCTTAAATTCCAGCTCTCTGCACATTCCATTATAATACTTTGCTTTGTCCTCCCATGCTGTCTTTTGAAACTGTCTGTTCAACTCTTTTTCTTCAACATGTTTTCCTTTAGATTTGGCTTCCCAATGTTCCAGTGAAATCTTTAGAGTCACTTCTGCTATCCATTTGAGTTTTTTTCTTCTCTGTTTTTGTAATGACTTTTTGCTTTCATTGTTGATATCATCCCACAACTCATCTGATCTTATGTCATTGGTGTTCAATGCCTCAAACCTATTAAGATGATCATGAAATTCCGAAGGAATTGATTCAAGATCATAACTTTATTCCTGTGGACTTATTTTAATTTTCTTTGGCCTCAATTTAAATTTGCATATGAGTAATTGATGATCTGATCCACAGTCTGCTCCTGGCCTAGTTTTGACAGGTGATATTGAGCATAACCAGTGATTCCTTTGACAAATGTAGTCAGTCTGATTCCTGTGCAGCCCATTGGATGAAATTCACATGTAAAGTTGTCTTTTGTGTCTTTTAGAATATGTATTTGCAATGAATAAATCATTGTAAATACAAAATTCAGTCATTCTATTTCCAGCCTCATTTCTATCACCAAGCCCATATTTTTCAACTACTGTTTCTTCTTCATTGTTTCCTACTGTTTGAACATTTCTAAATGGTGTTAGCAAACAATTAATTGTAAGCTGATTGTATCTGATGTTGTAATCAGTTTGGGTGGGCGGGCCTTCATATAATTTCGATTGGGCCCTCTGGCCATAGGCCTTTAGAAAGAACATTGTTATAAGTGGTGCAGCACTTGTCTGTCAGTTTTCTGTACTGCAGTTACTTTGGTTTGCAGTGATACTGAAATTTTGGCCACCAATGTGTCAAATTCCAAAAGGGTTTCCCATTGTGAATGGGTTTTGGTGGAGCTCCCTGATTAAGACAGACTGGGAAGCAGGATGGACCATCTAATTCCTAAATATAAGGCTTTTGAAAACCCTATGAACACTAAATGAAGAGGATAGTTACAGTAGTATAGTGGTAGAGCCCAGATTGGAAGTTAGTTGAAATGAGGAAAATCAGTAACAAACATCTTTTAACAATTGATACATAGAATGTTGGTAGCTTGAATGTTGGAAAATTGGGTATTGTTACAAATGAAATGGGAACGCATGATTATTGACATACTAGGCATTAGTGAGATATGATGAATCAGAAATGGCCACTGTGAATCAGATAATCATATGCTGTACTATGCAGTGATTGAAAAACAAAAGAACAGTGTTACATTTATAGTCATAAAGTCAATTTCAAGTTCTATCCTGAATACAGTGTTGCAAGTGCTAGGATAATATCCATACCCATACAGGCAAGACCCATTAAAATGACTATTACTCAAGTATATGCTCCTACATCTAGTTCCAAAGAGGAAGAAATTGAGAATTTTTACCAAATTTTGCTGTCTGAAATTGATCGAAGATGCAGTCAAGATGTGTAAAAGATAATTGTTGACTGGAATGCAAAAGTAGGAAACAATAAAGAAGACACTTGAATACTAATAAGTAAAAGTAGCATGTTGTTATGTTATATGCATGTACTGCATATATTATTGTTGTGTGGCATTGAGTCAGAATCAACTCATAGGTGATCCTCCAGCACGTTTTCAGAGACTATAAATCACATGGGAAGTGATTGTCTTTCTCCTTGGAGCAATCAGTGTATTCAAACTGTCTGCCTTTGACTTAGCAGCACAACTCCTTGCTACTAAGCTACCAGAGTTCTCAGAACTGTATTAATGAATATACTTTTAACTATATCTTCACATGTGCCTTTATGGACTTGTGATACTTGCAAAAGATTAGATAAGCCATGGTCTAAAATAACTTAATAGAATTTTAAGGGAAATTTAATCATGTAGTTTTTGTATTATTACCTGAAATAAATATTTTTATAAGTGTATTTTGGTAGACATTAAAGATCTCTTTTGCACATGATGAAGATCTCTCCAAGAAAGTACCAAATAAATATTCATTTCAGGAGTCAGATTCCTTTATACCTAGAATTAGCTGTATTGTGCTGTGATATCACCAGAAACACGCCATTTTCTAGATGTTTATGTCACAGATTCCTCCTGATTTTTACATGAGAAAAACAAGATAAAATAATGAAAGCCAGAAACTTTAATTTACTAATCTTTCTTTGTGTTTATCTAGTTACTACATTTTAAACTAATAATATTATCAAATAATTCTAATTTTCTCCTTAATACGTCAAGTTCCAATGGTAATTTTAAGAAAAAAGTATTTTTTCCTACATAATATGTGGACTTAAAAAAGAAAGAAGACAAAATAAAAAATAGCATCCATCAAATGTTCTGCTGGAGAAGGAAGGGGCAATCTCCTCCTGTACTACTCAGATCCGATTTGACGGAACACATGCAAAAAATTTAAAAAAAAATAGCTATTGATAAATCTGTCAAAAAAGTGAAAAAAATTTTTACTGTTTGAAAATTTAAGATACTGTTTCTTTTCCTACTATTATTTACCTACTCTTATTTTCTATGTAAAGTTTGACAGTCTAATTCTGTTCAAAATTTAGCCATTTCTTTTTAACTTTGTGTTCTTCTCTTTATTAAAAAATGTATAGGAAAGAGAGCAAAACTGAATGACCCTAATTCTGAATTAACTGAAGTAAAGGAATTGACAGAAGACAACAATGATGAGTAAGTTTTGTGGGTTTTTTTTTTCCATTTTGAAATGATATGCAACATCAAGACAGATGGAGAAAAGATTGAAACTGTCAAAGAGTTCATCCTACTTTGATCCATAGTGACTTGATCACTTGGCACCAGCAGTCATGAGATCAGTAGACATACTGCACTGGGAAAATCTGTAGTCAGGGAACTCTCCAAATTATTGAGGACCAATTATGTCATTTTGAGGACTCAGTTGTGCCTGATTCAGGCCATGGTCTTTTCAGTCACTTGCTATGTATCTAAGAACTGGACAATGACTAAGGATAACAGAAGAAGAATTGATGCCTCTGAACAATGGTGTTGGAGAAGAGTACTGAATATCCCTTGGACTTCCAAAAGAATAAACAAACAGAGAAAATTCAACCAGAGGGTACGTTGGAGGCAAAGATGATAAAGCTTCCTCTCACATACTTTAGGTATTTTGCTAGGAGAAGCTATTCCTTGGAGAAAGACATCATGCTTGGAAAGGTAGAGAAATGGCAAAGGAGAGGAAGACCTAGGTGGGTCTCCACCAGGTGCTTCAATGGGCTTGAGAGTGTCAGGTATGTGAGGATGGCACAGGATAGGACAGGGTTCAGATTGGTTGTTCATAGGGTCGCTGTGGGTCATACTCAATGGCACCTAACTACAACATGGATAGTGCAGGTAAAACAAGTTTTTAAAACATTTGATTAGTAGATAATAACTTGACTTTTTTCCCTGCAGCTGCTTATTCTCATCCATTCTGTTGGGAAAAGAATGTAACTTGATGTTGTTGTTGATTGCCGTCGTCCAGTCGAGCATGGCTCATAGCAACCATATAAACAAAAGGCCTAAAGCCTTTCTATAACTGTCGTGATTTATCAAAGTTCATAGAGTTTCCAGAGGCATATCTTAGGAAGTGGATGCCACTCCTGCTTCCAAACCTCTCTTAAACTAGGAGCTCCACCAAACACTGTCCACAATGTGTAACCATTATGGCATTTGACATTCCAGTGGCATAAAGTTCAGGTTTGAACCTGAACCCCAGGTTACCTTTGTACAGCATATTGACAAAAGAGTGCTTTACCGCATAAAAGAATGTTCCTCCAAAATATAACAATTGGCTTTTAAATACAAAGCCCCTCCCCGAGGTCTTGTTGACTCTAAACAAGAAGCTTAAATTAAAAAAAAAACAACCAATATAGTATGTTGTTGTTGTTATATGCTGTTGACTCACCTGCAACGTATAGCAACCCTATGTACAGCAGCTTTGAACCCTTCCCTGTATGACATTTTGTTGTTTTGTACCATTGAGTTGGAACCAATCCATAGTGAACCCTCCAGCGGGTTGGTTTTCAGAGGCAGTTAATCTCATGAAGAAGAGACTGGTAGCCTACAATTCCCTACACTATAAGCTTCTGAGAAGATAAACAATGCTAGTGGTTTGAATCACTGCTGACAATATTTTGACCTGGTGTTTTGATTAACTCATGGCTTTTAATTATAGCAGTTGGCTTTTGTAGAATGAAGATTACCTTTGGTCTACCTTTCCTTGGAAATACAATAATATTAGAAAAAGTAGTCAGGATTTTGTAAGCCTTTTTTTTTTTTTTTTGTCTAGACTTATATAGCATTTATTTCATTCTGGTTTAGCATTGTCCATGATGCTTGGAAGGGTAGAGGAACAGCACAAAATAGGAAGACCCTAGATGAGATGGTTGACTCAGTAATGGGGGTAGGTGTGCCAGAGACAATGAAGTTGGTTCAAGATAGTGTAGAGTTCTGAGCTGTTGTATATAGGGTTGCTATGAGTCAACAGCACGTAACAACTATACTACAGACAGGTACAGAAATTCTGTTAAGAGGTCATTTCTTTAATCCATGCATAGCTCTCAGCTTTTGTCTCCCAGGTCAAGAATGAAAAAAACAACAAGACCATTCACTCTTTCATTCAATAATTACTTACTACACATTTATGCTAAATATTATTCTCAGTGTTAGGGCTACACAGATGACTTAGACTCTATTCCTTAAGGAATTTATGGTCTAGAATGGAAGATAGATTCATAAAAGTGAGTAGAATAGAGTATGATGTTATAATTGATAACATGACCTAAACATATGTCTGGTAGCTAAATTCAACTATAAAACTAGAGTTACCATGGTTTGAAAGTAGACTTTAAAAAACTCCTCAAGTTCCTTACCTTGAAGTCAGAACTGACTTATTATAGCTGAGCTTCCAGCAAATTTTCTGAGACTTTAAATCCAAGGGAGAAGATTGCCCATATTTTTCCCTGAGAGTCACTGGTGGATTGGAACTGACCGAGTTCATAGAATAATTAACCACAATATTTGAATGTAAATAAAATAAAAGTAAAATTTTTAGCAATAAAAATTATTTTTAAGAATACTAGCAAAATGTTTTCTCGTATATTTAGTATTTAATTGGATTCTTATTTTTATTTACCTTTTTAAACTTAATTTAAAATATTTATATTATAAAATTCATTTAAAAGTTGAATCCCATCCCTTTTCTTTATTTTGATAAAAGTTTTAAGTGAAAGTAATGAACAAATTAACATGTTTTAAATTCTTTTTACAAAAACTTAGTATTTGGAAAGAAATCTTAAGACCACTAAAAACATTCAAATGCTTAGAATCTGTAGAGTAAAAGATATTTAAATACTGTAAACAAAATTTTCCACTGAGTTCTTAGAAAATTTGCAAGAGTATTACAAAGAAACCCTGTGTCTTTCCCCAAACGAATGCATTATTAACGTTTTGTTACATGCACTTCAATAAACATACATACATATATATTTATGCATTTGTTTCTGAATGATTGAGAAATTGCATATGACATCTCTTTTACTATGAAGTACTTTAATGTGGGCTCTATGAGGAAAAATGTGGGTCAATATTGGTGGAAGATCTGTCAACAATCTGCGATATGCAAATGATACAACCCTGCTTGCTGAAACTAAAGAGGACCTGAAGCACTTGCTGCAGAGGGTCAAGGACTGCAGCCTCCAATATGGATTGA